ATGTGTATAAGAGACAGCGCCCGGACGGCGTCCGCTTGCAAGTATGGGTTAGAGGGATAAGTTTCGTCTTCCCTTACTGAATTTGATTTCTTCTTCGAGGGGGCTTTGGGCCAGTGTCTGGATACGCTGCTGGCTCGAGTTCCCTAGCAGCTGAAAATACAACCTTTGTGTCTCCTTCAGACATTTGGTTTCGATTTTTGTGTGTGTTTACCTATTTATGGTGTGTGATTGAATTAGCTATATTTTATGCTTTTTTTTATGTGGCAAATTTCTCGAGACAAAATAGCTGACCGATCTATATCGAGGCTTGAACTAGCTTGGTTCGTTCCTACGCCATCCGGACTGTTAGATTATTGGATCTTTTCCGTCCATTTATTCCCACGTTAATGACCCGGCCTTACCTGCTTGTGGAGAGGTGTACACCTTCAGGAGTCTACATTTCCGCCTTGCATTAGAGCATCTCAAAATAACGCGGTTCGTGAGTCGTCCCGAGTGCTAGATTATTGGACTGTGTCCGTCCATTTATTCATGCTAATGAGCAGGCCTTGCTCACTTGCAGACAGGAGTGTGCATTTGCGAAGATTTGTGTTTTATGGTCGAGGAGTAGGCATCCTCACTTTGCCCCATGTTCCGTCTGCGGTTTTGCCACGAGCCCACGGTTCTCTGCGGGCCCGTTTACGCCTTCGTGTGGTGCAGAGGAAGAATGGCTAGGTGCGCGCTTCACAGGCCTGTAGCTGTATCTTCAAATCCTCGTGTTCGTTTGTCAGGCAGTGATGTTTAATTACAGTCAGAGGCAAGCTGCATGAGCTGTTATTGTTCTGGTCCTGGACTAACCTGGCCAGAATATGGACCAGGTTCCTGTTTTTCAAATGGTTCTTTTGGTAGTGCTGACATTGAACCAGAGGTGGAGGGACTGCATGAAAATCTGTTATTTTCCTGAGTGGGGATCCGGGCCACCCGGGTGACCGGCAGAGGCCCAGGGGAGGTCCTGGGCGGCCTGGCCGGGCAGGGCACCCGGTTGGGGGCCGGCCCCCCCCAGCCCACTTAACTGTCGGGGGATATCGGACCCCCTTTCGAACCCCCTTTGTTGCATACTGTAACGTGCAGACCAGAACAAGAACCGACCTTTCAATACGAAGTATAAGATAGCACACATCATCATCATCGTTATCTGGTGTGAAGGGGGTCTGGCGCTTCACACGAGAAGACTGCGCCAGCCCCAACCATAGACGAAGAAGGAGGGGTTAGACGAAAGAGGAGGGAAGATGGGAATGTCGTCAACACCAAGTCTCGGCACAGGCCCAAATAGTCCCTCGTCGAAATGTCTGAATCCCAATGTCCAGTCTGGATCCAATGTCGTCAAGTCTCAAGTCACAACTCTTTCTCTCTCTGTCGTAGTCTGAGAAGTCAGGTGGCGAGAGGGTGAGAAGAGATGGTGGCGAGAGGGTGAGAAGAGATGGTGGACTCAGAAGAGGAAGAAGAAGAACTCTCTCTCTCTCTGTGTCCAGTACTAACCTGTGAAGTTGGCGCCTTGATGCAGGTATCACGAAGATGGAGCTGGAGCAATGGCGCCACAGGTAAGTATCACTGGCCTCCGCCAGTCTCTCTCCCACTCTACGATCTACCACCTACCAGCGCCCAGCGCTGAAGACTACAGCTACAGCTATGGCGCCCAGCGCCGAAGACTACAGCTAGCGCTAATACCACCTAGCTCTGAAGACTACTGCAGCGCTCCTCCTGAGTGCTGCGGCCGAAATCCTGAAGACTACCTCGTGCCTACTGAACTACCTACCCGTGAAGTGCATGGGAACTTCCTATGTACTACGGGGTGTGCCTCCTGAGCCTGCCGAAGGGAGGCAGGGGCTGCAGCTGCAGCTCCTGCTCAAACTCGTGAGGAACAGGCTATTTCTGGCCTGTTCCGCATCCCTTTTTACGTGCCTGAGTCTTAAGGGCAGGTCGAAACAATGAGGGCCTGAAAATGGCCCTCCGTTTCAGGCTGAAAACTCTGGGTCTGAAAAGACCCAGAAATAGGCTGAAACGGGGTAGGGCCTGCAGGCCCTCGTTTTTCAGCTTTCAGGCTGAAACGGGGTAGGGCCTGCAGGCCCTCGTTTTTCAGCTTTCAGGCTGAAACGAACGGGGCCTGTAAGCGCTAAGTTTTAGGCTTTTAGGCTGAATGTCCGGGACAGGCCCTGCAGGGCCCGTGTGGCTACGCAGTATGCCACACCCTGTGTGTGTGTGTGTGTGTGTGTGTGTGTGTGTGTGTGTGTGTGTGAGAGAGAGAGAGAGAGAGAGAGGTTCGAATCATACTTGCAGCGCATCTCATGGGCGGGGTGCCGCACGCGCATGCAAGTACACACAAGTGATGCGCCGCATTAAAAAAGTAGAAAATAAAAGTGTCCTTGTTGTGTCCAGCCTCTTTTCGGAAGGATCCCTACAGCATATTAGCCAGGACCCGACGTCATGCAGAGATACACTTCAAACTTGTACTCCCTGAGGGTGGGCAGAGAATATATAGTCTGGATTCGAATTCAGGTCTGTGCATGTCGGTTATGGGTCACTATTTCTCTGTTTTCTCGCTTTTCTTTTCTTTTCTCGTTTTTCTTTTATTAGGAATACGTGCAGTGGCCCTAAG